GTACAGTCAACAAAAAACGAAAAGAACACATACACCCTACCCCTACCCCCCCCCTAACCTACTATATATATATATATATATATATATATAGAGAGAGAGAGAGAGAGACATGCAGAATACCAGCATACCTCCAATGCTTTTTCTTCATCATATATAAATTTGGGCAATTTTCTCATGAGGTCCTTCTTATCTGTTTCAGCTAATGCCTTGCTAATCTGTAAAAGAGAAATTAAAGGGCAGTCATCTTACCCCTCCCACGTACAGCAAGAGAGAAGAAATTCGGAAAAGGCATTTAGAGCAAAGACGACCAAGGACGGTGACCAATACGGAAAAGGTCATCGCCTTTGGTCGTCTTTATATCAAGAAGTGATGAAGCAACATTCACAAGTATTTTTAGAGCAAAGAAGACCAAAGGCGGTGCCCAATACAAGTGCTACTGCACTTTTACCTGAGGCGCATAGATACAACCAAGTGCACCAATGATTACTCCTCCTAATAGAAAGCCACCAACAAAGATTCTGGTATTGCCTGGCCTTCCACCATCACTGCCAATTAACAAGAAAGAGAAACATCCCATAAGATATTTTCTCCTGTCGGTGGATCACCAATGCGTGAAAGAAACAAAAGTACAGTTTTCTTTTTCCTATTTAAATGTAAAGAGCCAAATTGGATTCACAGTTTTGCAGAACAACTGTCGGACCAAACTAATTCAAACATGATCGGACAGAGGGCCCATTTATCAGGGATTGAACTTTTCAATTGATTTGGTCTAATCAACTCTAACATTAACTTATGAAGATGAAAATATAATCTATCGAAGGACTACTGACCACCAAACAAAAGAAGGGTGATGCAACATCAATATATGTTGCATACAACGAGAGCACATGAGAATAAGAGAAGAAATACCTATATCCTGCTTGAACGGTCAATGAACTTCTAGATGAGGATGATTTTCCTCTACTCCTTGGGCTGAAGGCCAACTTGGTGGTGCCACTGACACTTTGGTCTGCTGACTTCAAACTAGAGCCTAGCACATTGATAAAGTTACCGGACTTATGCCACATTACTCATCTAGGTTTGGTTGAAAGAGAGAGTCATCAATGCAACAACTGACCATGCCGTGTATGACTAAACCAATCTTATTTGTCATGAGAACTATTTGCTTCACGCAGTTCCCAAATAATTTGAACAAAAGAACAAACAATCCATTTTATATCCAACAATTTGCATTCAGATGTTATGCTTAAAATTAATTGAATAAGAAGCAGAGAAGGTTGTTCAATTTTATAAGGACCTCTTATTTTTAATGTATTGAAATAAACACCTGGCACGAATTCAAATAAGCATTTTGGAAAATGATGCTGGAACAGCATAAATGTCACTGTATAAGAGAATACTCTACAATATGAATATTTAAAGACCACTCTGTTCATATCTATCTCAGTCCAATGCAATATAATACTCTCTCTTATTCATTTTATACAACACCTTTTTTTTATTCCAAAAAGATTGACACCTTTTTATATTTGAAAAATCTTTAAATTTAACACTCACGTTTTTGCCATTAAAGCCCTTACAGATATGATCTTATAGGAATTGAAGTGACTTCCATTGTTTATGTCTTTAAACTTAACGCTCCGTAACAGCATATTTGCCAGCATGTACTTCCACGGTTTATGTCTTATTTTGACTGAGCACAAAATTTAAGAATATAATGAAGACTTTTGAATCTTGTGGTCTTAATTAAAGATGTGTATAACATACAAATAATACCCTTTGAATCTTGTGATCTTAAACTTTGTATCCAGTCAAACACCACCATATAAAATGAAAGACTTTCTTATAATCAAATTGGTGTAACTTAAGACTGGATGTTCCATAAATCTCGTACTTATCCCTACACGGACATACAAGTCTGTGTTCTTAACTAAAAAGCTCCAGTGAGAAAACTACCTAACATAAGTATAACAACAACAAAGAACGTTTATCGCAACTAGTCTGTAGCTACTAGCCCATTTTGATTTGTTCTTAACTAAGGTCTCAAGGTCTTTTGAGACACAAATTACTACATGCTGCAGTTGGTTTACTTTAACAGATAAGGAGACACAAATATTGAAATATAGAACTCTGTAGTAGTCTTCCAATTACGCTATTACGGAGCTTGATTGATGTAAATTAATCCTGGCACTATTTCCTTATAAGTTCTTTCTAAAAAGAACAAACCCTTATATATGTGAAAACAGCTTAAAATTTTCATTTTTCTCTTAATGACATTCTTTTATAATCACAGAATCTCATGACATACTATTCATTTAAGAACATGAGTTCAAAAAGTCTTTATTCCGTACTTAAGTTACGTGCCAATCAAACACAGTCACATTCAGTCAAACACAGTCACATAAATTTAAGGGAAGAGAGTAATGGGTGCAGCAAAAGCAGCGAATTATAATGAAAAATTAGAATATTACCAAAAGGATTTGTTGGTAAGAGCAAAGAATTTGAAAGAGCTACCATCCTGTGAGGATAGGATTAGGGTTTAAACAGGAGTAACGTGGAAGTTAGTCGCCGGAAAATGAATCAAAGGTGGAGAACGGCGGCCGGCCGGCGGAGAGAGAGAGAGAGAGAGAGAGAGATATGAATGATGATAACAGGAGGGGAATCAAAGAAGTGATATTGTTTTTTTAGTTCGATGAGGTCGATGATGATCAACATAATTAACCACGACGCGTGGATATTTGTTTGGGAACCGGAAAAGGCCCACAATTGCTCCTAAACTATTAGATATAGAGCAATTATGTCCTTCCTTAGATTTTGGTACAAAAAATATCCTTACCGTTAAATATTGGATCACTTATACCCCTAAAAACTAAATAAGCTCCAGGTCAGATTTACAACATTAATTTTTTTTTTTTTTTGACTCCACCTTCCACTCAACTTTCAAACACCTACAACGTGAAAGCAACTCTTTATCTTCTGCCTATCACTTGCTGGAAAAACCTCTACAGTAATACTTCCAATGGGGAAATCATCTTATGGACATAGAACCTTCAAGACAAGAAAATCATTCAGTAAAAAGATATTGTATAGATTGCGAGTCCATTAAATTCATAGTCATTCTTGGGGATAAGCTCATCTTTTTTTGGTCTCAAATATCATAAACATAAAACAGTAAAGTCTATTGTTTACAAGAGATCACTACGAATGACAACTTTTCGAACACAGTGATAACCAAGTACTGTAGCTCCATAATAAAAATTATAAACCAAGTATAATTTTTAGGGGTATAGGTGGTCCGGTAATTTAACGGTAAGGATATATTTGGTACCAAAATTATACGGAGGCCATATTTGCTCTATATTCAATAGTTTAAGGACAATTTTGGACCTTTTTCGGTTTGGGAACCAAATGCATAAAAATCAATAAAACCAAATAAACGAAATAAATAACAAATAAAATCAAAATAATGAAGGAAAAATCAAAAATGATAGCAATAGAAAATTTTAGTAAAAATTATTAATATTTTGTTCTGTTAAAATTTTCTCTTATATAAGATTAGTTAACTGTTTTGTAACTTAAACTAATTAAGATTTAAGATTGTTTAATTAAAAATAAAGGTGGTCAAAAGTAGTTTATCCTTCAGCATCACCAATTAAATTACAAGTGTAACTTGAGGAAAAAAAAAAAGGGAGAATTATACGCTTTATTATTTGGCCCAATAACCCATTAGAAAATAGTCCACGTTGAAAGTTTTTACCACGTATGACTCAGGTTGTACATAGCTTGAAAATTTACTTTTCACCCGTTTGCCCACCCCCTTTCAATTATTTTTTTTCTTTTTTCGTTCTTCTTCTCCCCGTGTCCCGACTTTGTACCCTAAAATTTCTCTACCATTGTTATTCTTCTTCAACTCTCCTTCCAGATTCAAAGCTGATAACCAAGAAGAAGAAGAAGAAGAAGAAGAAGAAGAAGAAGAAGAAGAAGAAAATAATACGTAAAAGAATTAGTTTTTTGGAGTCATATGAAGATCACTTCCTCCATTGGAATGGAGAGAACTGTGTTTATTGTCATGCATTAAATAGGTTCACTTGGTAGGTTATTGGATCATCAAACTAGAAAAATAGAAGCCACATTTAAAGGTCGTTCAAAACTTCGATTTCGGAAATTGAATTTTTCATTGTTAGTTGTTTGGATTGGATGTTGTGGCAATTGATTGTGATCATCAAGAGGATTTCAAAACTTATGTTTGAAGTAATTTGGAGCTAGATTCGAGCTAGATTTGAGTTAAATTTCAGAAGATTCTCAAGGAAGAAGAACCCGTGAAACTCTATCGATAGGATTCATTTGTATAATAGTGCATAAACACCTCTTATACACTATTGTATACAAGGTTGAAACATCATTTACAGGTATTTGGTGAATTTCTCACTTCTTCGAGCTAGATTTGAGTTAAATTTCAGAAGATTCTCAAGAAGAAGAAGAAGAAGAAGAAGAAGAAGAAGAACCCGTGAAGCTCTATCGATAGGATTCATTTGTATAATAGTGTATAAATACCTCTTATACAGTATTGTATACAAGGTTGAAATATCATTTACAGGTATTTGGTGAATTTCTCACTTCTTCTTCTTCTTCTTCTTCTATATACATATGTATCACGAGCACTTTCACTATTGTGCTTATACATCTTTATACACTTTTATACAACTATATACATAATGTACCTCTTTGTATAAAAGTGTATAAGTATCTCTAACGAACTTCCTGTACGTTTTTTTACTTGCAATTTTTATTTAAAACTAGTCTAAATCCTCATCAAGTGTTTTCAAACTTTGTATGCAGCCTACTTAGACTATTTCTAATGAGTTCAAACAATATCCACTTGAAATTTCTCACAAATTTGTATTTGAAATTTTGATAAGATTAGCATTGAAGAAGATGAAATTGTAGGTTTCTCGCATCTATTTTTGCATTTTTGTAGCTGGGATATATATGTATAAACGTGAGAAAAAGGGAGAATGGAAACTCACAAATATTTCACGCTTGAAGATCTAGTGGGAAAAAAAGACGGAAAAAAATTTGGATCTAAACTTATTAATATTTGGCTACATATTTGTAAACGTGTAACTGGGCTAAAATATTGCAAGGTAACTTATAAAGTGATTTATTGTGTAATTCTTTAAAAAAAAAATAAAAAAAAATAAAAAAAAAGATAGGTTCGAGAAGAATCAAAAGTCTTGGTCTCTAATTTAGAAAGCAAATTAGAGTGTAAATTATGCCAATGGAAATTAAAGTTACAACTGGTACCAAGTGTATAAGTTTTCTTTTTTTAAAAAAAAAAAATTAAACCATCTTTTATTCACATAGAAGGGTGTAAGTCTGAAACCCACACAATAAGTACCTCTTATATTTTTGTTGAACTAGTCAGCCATGGCAGAAGAGGAAGGAAGTCGATGAAGAAGAAGGAGAAGTTCCATTCTCTGTATTAGAAATGAACTGTTCTAACTGATTCTCAGAAAGCTACTGTACAAGTGTAACTAACTTCTATTTATACAACTAACTAATTAACCTACCTTTTTATCAACTAACTTCACCTAATTACAATATATTAAATTAACTACTAGACCCCACTTCTATTCCTTCTACACTCCCCCTCAAGCTGAGGGATGAAAACAGACTCTTCATTCCCAGCTTGCAAAGTAAGTAATCATGTTGTGGACTGCATAGACTATGTGTGTTTATCGGGCGGGCTGGGACGGGCTGAACGGGGAAAACCCCAGCCCGTTCAGTTAGCGGGCAGGTTGGTTAACGGGCTAGGAAAACGGGCTCTTGGCGGGTTGGGAAATTTCGAGTTTTTTAGGGCCCGTACGGGTTCGGGCTTAGCGGGTTCGGGCGGGCCGGGCTCCAGTTATTTTTTAAAAAAAATTAAATTTTATTTTTCTTATCCAATGTTATTGATAGTTAAGTATTTGCAAACTTTTAAGGGTTAGAATTAAACTTTGAAGTTTAAAGTTTAAAGTTTTAAATTTAAAATTTGTATTTTAAAATTATAAAATTGAAAATTTGAAATTAGAAACTTAGAAAGTAAGTGGCTACAAAAAATTATTTAATAAGACCAATAGGCAAGTTCAAATTATATTCTTCATACTTCAAATTAATTTGCAAGTTCTTTTTTTTTTTTTTTTGAACTTGCAAATTAAAAGTTTACAACAAATAAAAAAATAAGAAATAGTACATCACATATTTTGCATCATTTTACTAAGTTCTTCCATGTCAACATGATGTTCTAGGTTTCCGGCATTGGTTGAACCGGATCCATAAACCATTATATCTCCAGTTTCTTGGTCCTCCTCTTCGTCTACCTCGGCACGCCCTTGATTTCGCCGTTCTGATCTTATCCAATCTCTGAAGCACACTAGAATTTCCAAAGCGTTGCTGCCCAATGAATGACGGGTATCTCCTAGCTACTGCCTTGCTTGGCTAAATGCGCTCTCTGATGCGATTGTTGAAATCGACACATTTAGCACGTCTCGAGCCATGTCCGAAAGAACAGGGAATTGATTTGAGTTGCTCTTCCACCAAACCAGCGGTTGAAAATCCTTTGTGAGGGGCTATGGTAACTTTTGCAAGTAGAATTGTAGTTCATCAATATTCCTGGTACTGGTTTGTTGATGCTCTCCTAGTGTAGACCAAATCTGATAATCTTGAACACAATCATCATCATCCATTGTTGTTCCAGATGTTGAATGATTAGTTGAAAGAGTATTTGCATCTACAACCGAAGAAGCATCAACAATGTTAGCATAATAATTATATAAAGTTTGTAAATGTGTGTGTAGCTCAGAAACACAAGTGTCAATATCAGGAGGTTCAGTTAGTCCAATATCTATATAAGTATATAAAGCTCTAATTAATTGGCGACACTTTATCATTTTGACAGTAGGGTTTAAAATAGCACCAATTAGATAAATGTAGGGAATTGGGTAGAAATACTTTTTAAACTTATCTAGCATAGATTCAACAACAGTAGCATATCCTTCTTTCTACTTCAAATTATGTAGTAAAAGAGAAATTTCAACAATATGAACTAAACCATTTGAAACGGTAGGATAATAAGCTCCAGAAAACTCAAGTGTAGCCATATAAAATTTTTGTAAAAATTGTACAACATCATGAATGACATCCCAAGTTCTAGATGTTAACAAACGGTTAGGATCGGTACAATGAGAATTAGCAACTTCAGTTATAGGCATTCTATATTTATGACAACATCTTAAGAACAAATAAGTATAATTCCACCTAGTAACTATTTCTTCAGGTATGAGTCTTGGTTTTAGTCTATAGTGCACATATTTTTCCTTAAATGCATTTAATCTAGCACTTCTATTATTTCCTTGAATTACACCAACAGCTCTCCTAACTAAAGTAATATCAACTCTAAATAATTCAAGGCCACTCTTCACAGCCAAGTTATAAATATGACATGCACATCTAACATGAAATATTTCAGGAAGTGGTGGGTGTAGATGCAATTTTAATATTGTAATAGCAGCATTGTTGCTAGAAGCATTATCAAATGACATACACAAAACTTTTTCTGCAAGATTATAAAATATAGCAACTTCATGTATAGTATTACTTATAAATGCACCAGTATGACTTTGATCTTTATCATGTTTAAAAGCAATAATACGTTTTTGCATACAAAAATTATCATCTATCCAATGGCATGTAACAGTCAAATAATCATTTC